CCCCCTCTCCCTCCCTTCCCCCCTCCTCTTTTTTCCCTCATCTTCCCCCTTCACCCTCCCCTTTCCTCTCCTTCTCCCCTCCCTTCCTCTCTCTACTCCCCTGCCCCACTCCCTTCCCCTCCCCCTCTCCCCCCCCCACCTTTCCCCTTCCCCTCTCCTCTCTTTCCCCTCATCTTCCCCTTCACCCTCCTCTCTCCTCACCTTCTCCGCAACAACTACCATTGGACAAAGACCACTCTTTAGTTACCTGGTAGTAGTCTGTCGTATAGACATCTCTGGACATCCCGAAGTCACCGATTTTGACCACCAGGTTGGCCCTCACTAGGCAGTTCCTTGTGGCCAGGTCACGATGGACGTAGTGCTGCGTGGGGGGGGGGGGGGGAGAAGAGGTTTCATTAGTTGTGGGGCTCGAGCGAATGATTATATTGTGGGGGTGTCTGACATCCTGTATGCACACGCACAGGGATGTATACAGAGCGTACACACGTAAATATACATGTGTCTGTATTCTATGTCTGTCTGTCTCTTTCTTTTCTTTCTTCTTTCTACTCTCTTTCTTTCTCTCTTCTTCTCTCTCTCTCTCTCTCTCTCTCTCTCTCTCTCTCTCTCTCTCTCTCTCTCTCTCTCTCTCTCTCTCTCTCTCTCTCTCTCTCTCTCTCTCTCTCTCTCTCTCTCTCTCTCTCTCTCTCTCTCTCTCTCTCTCTCTCCTCTCTCTCTCTCTCTCTCTCTCTCTCTCTCTCTTCTCTCTCTCTCTCTCTCTCTCTCTCTCTATTATCTTTTCTTCATTTTCTTCTTTCTCTCCACTACTACTCTCTCTCTCTCTCTCTTCCTATATCTATTTATTTATCGGTCTGTCAATCTCTATTCCAATCCACCTCTTTCTCTGTCCCTTCCTCCTGTCTTTCTCTGTCTCGCTCTCTTATCTCTCTTTCCCACCCTTTCGCTCTGTATCCCTATCCCTCTCTCTCACTTTCCCTAATCGTCCGTCACATCCACCCAGTCTCTCCCCCCCCTCCTCCTCCCTCCGTATTATACTTCCCTCCCTCCTCCTTTCCTTTCTTTCCCTTCCCCTGCCAACCAACCTTTTTTCCCCTTTCTTTATTCATATTTCCCCTTCTCCCTCTCCTCCTCCCTCTCTTCCATTCTTCCACCATCCATCTATCTCCCTGTTACCACCAATCTTTTATCCTTTTCTCCATACCATTTTCCATCATCCATCTATCTCCCTGTTACCAAACTTTTATCCCTTTTTCTCCATATTTCCCTTCTTCCCTCTCCTCCTCCCTCTCTTCCATTCTTCCATCATCCATCTATCTCCCTGTTACCACCAATCTTTTATCCCTTTTTCTCCATATTTCCCTTCTTCCCTCTTCTCCTCCCTCTCTTCCATTCTTCCACCATCCATCCATCTGCCTGTTACCATAATCTTAATAGTAGTGGTAGAAAAACCCACAATGTACAAACTAGATTTCATTATTCAATAAACCTAGTTTGTGCATTGTGGGTTTTTCTAACATAGTATCAACACGGTAGAGTGTTTTTCCATTCATATTGGACCCCGCGGTTAAAAGAAATCTTAATAGTAGTGTTTTTTAGGGTAGCTGTGTTGTTAAGTATGTCTGGTAATGTTTGCAACAGGAACAACGAAGGGAAGGCCAAGAAAACACACGAATATGTCGAAGGCCCTTTCGCTAGTGACGAAATAATAGCGAAAAGGCCTTCGGCATATTCGTGTGTTTTCTTGTTCTTCCCTTCGTTGTTCCTGCTGCAATCTGTTCGTCATGAATTCCACACTGGTAATGTTCCACAATCCTGTCCCTTGGCCTCGTCCTCGTCAGTGATGAACAACCTACCTTGTTGAATTGATTTTATTTTTAATGGTACGTTGCATCGTTGCATCACTTTTTTAATACTATCTACTATATCTACATCTCTATATACTATCTATTATCTATCTATATTACATCTCTAACAATACATTTCTTTCTACTCTATTATCTATCTATATCTACATCTCTAACAATAATACATTTTTTCTACTCTATATCTATCTATATCTACATCTAACATCTTCTATATCTATATCTCTAACAATAATATTCTTTCTTTACTCTATTATCTATCTATATCTACAATCTCTACAATAATCATTTCTTACTCTATTTATATCTATATCTACATCTCATTAATCAATACATTTCTTTTCTACTCTATTATCTATCTATATCTATATCTACATCTTATTAATAATACATTTTTCTACTCTATTATCTATCTATATCTACATCTCTATAAATACATTTCTTTTCTACTCTATATCTATCTATATCTACATCTCTAAACAATAATACATTTCTTTCTACTTTCTATATTATCTATACTATCTACATCTCTAACAATAATATTTCTTTTATCTATTACTTATTATCTACATCTCTATAATATCTAATCCTAATAATAATGTAGGTGGTTGGTTTTCTTCTTGTTTCCCCGAGGCAGACGAGTGCTGAGAGCAACGGCGAAAAGGTGATCGATGTCTTATCCACACCAAGACGGAGCTTTCTTATTCTCGGCCTTGACTGCTCCTCGAGGCGTGGGTAAAAAGTGCGATTCTCCCGGAGGTTGTGAAGACGAGGGGCGTGAGTGAAGACGAGGGGCGTGAGTGAAGAAGAAGGGCGTGAGGGAAGACGAGGGGCGTGAGGGAAGACGAGGGGCGTGAGTGAAGAAAAGCGGCGTGAATGTGCCTTGTTCTACCTCTCGAATTCATATTCTCTCATTTTTTTTATTTTTGTGTAAGAAGTCTTCAATTCCTGGGTGCTGTTCCTCGATATCATGAAGTTGAAAAAATTCGGGTGACGAAAAATATCCACTTTCCCCGAACCCAGAAGCCGCTCGCACTCACATCTAAGTGGGCGTCGTCGGCGGTGTTAGCTGATTGGAGCGTGGGTGTGACGGCTGGTTCGACCCCTGATCTCGCGGCATACCTCACCCATACATGTAATACCGCGGCATACTGTCGTGGCCGGTATTAGTAGATTGGAGCGAAAAGTACCGCCCCTCAGTGGGTGTGAGGGCTGGTTCGACCCTGATCTCGCGGCACACCTCACCCGACACTTGTGCCCTTCTGTCCCTCACCTTCTTGCACGTCATGGCGAGACTGGATCGAATGACGACCCACACGTGCAGTGTAACCGGAGCTCGTCGACCGACCAGCCATATCTTAGGGATATATCTACAAACGTTTATTCAGGCTAAAAAAAAATGTTGTTTTGATTGGTAGATTTCTCGTGACATCACTTTCATCTCATTTCCCCTGATGATTGTGTGATTGTTTCTTGGGATTCTGCTTCCTGTTCGGTCTCCCATGCGTTTGTAATTTTCTATTTTTCTATTCTTTATTATTTTCTCTTGTTTGGCTGTGCGTATGTCTTTTTCACGATGGACTGAATCGGGCTGGCTGTAAGCTTGATGGAATTTTGAGATTTAGTGTTTGTAAATTTGCCTTCAAGTCTTGGTAGGATTTCGAGTATAAGTTTTTCTATGGCCATGCCAATGATGGTAAATTTGTTATTATTATTATTTCATTGAGGGGTTCAAACAGGTGTTCAGTATTTGAATACCGAAAGTAAAAACCGTATACTCCGAGTGTGGTTCTATTCCTACGATGTGTGCCAGTGTTTTTAGCTCATTGACCCTTTTATTTACTCCTTGGCTGCTGTTGTCCCTAGGACTGCCCCCCCCCCCCCAGCAGGTGTTTCTCCCCGCTCTCCTTCATTGTATATGTCTCTCTGCAATATTTCTTTGGGTTGGACGAGTTGTTAAAGTTTTACAAGATTTAATTGCGTTGAGGTACTATCCCCCTGGAGGTCCATGAACTTCAATTCTATCCCACCATTTTCGTGGGTCATCTATCTTCCCGGCGCTTGCAAGGTCATCGGTGTATGAAACTTGTTCTATTTTCGTTGTGTTGAAGTTTATGTGTTCTTGCAGCAGAAGGAGGCCAATTGCATGCATTGCCATTCCGTTGTACCTGATGCAAGGAACTTCACAGATTCAACTTCACAATTTTTTTGTAGCTCATGTATCTGACGGTTCACTAGGTGTTTTTGATGTATTGTGCTAAGCTTGGGTATTTGACTTCGAACTTGTGTATTGTGTATCATTTTATATGTATATAGATTTTTGTGTATCCTTAATATATATAATCGCTTTTCGTTGAAGTGAAGACCTGGCAGCCTCACACATCAACCCGCTTCACAACCAGGATCCTCATAGCGTGGTTGGCCGCTTTGCACTCCGCCTTTGGCCCACGCATGCTTGGAGATCTCCCACGGCTGTTTGAACGTCGTCTACGAGGATTTTCACGAAGGGATTGGCAGTTATTCTTCCCAAAACCTCTTCAGTTCTTGCGGGATCCTGGTCTTTTGTCTCGAGTTGTGGTTCTTGACCCTTTTACTACCACCCACCTCCTTCCCTCCCCCTCCCCCAATCTATGAATAAAAATTTCTCCAGAGTTTAAAGAAAATATATATTCATTCTTAGTTTTTTATTTATGATGAAATGGTCACATCATTACTAAACTCTCTTGTCTATGCTCTTGTTAAGAAAATAGCAAATTGTTAGAGAAATTCCTGCTTTTTTTTTTTCCCAAGGGGTCGCGTTCCCTTGGTAATTCCTGACTCCCCCAAGTTTCGCTGGCTCACAGGGGGGTGGCAAACACGCGGCCCGCCACACTCCTTTTTTGGGCGCATTTGCTATTTCACTCTTACTGTAGGCAGTTTTAAATTAATTGATTCAGTCTCTTCGTCTGTTGAAGGTTATCACTCTCTTTCAGTTTTCTTTTTATTATTCTGTTTTTTGTAATGAATGAAATAGCCTCCTATATTTTTACGTCAACTATATGGCTGTTTCGTTGCGTCGACTCTTGATCATCTGGCCCGGCAAACTTGATACTTAAAGTCAAATGTGGCCCCCCCTAAGAGTTGGACAGCCCTGTGTCTAGAGCAATGACAACAGCAAGCTCCTGCAATTTTCTGTCGCCAATTTCCTTGCCAGGGTTGCATTGGCTTTGCAGAGATCGTTGCAGCATTTCCAGATATTTTTCTCCGGTGTTGCATTCGAAGATTTCCGGGGGCGGGGGGGGGGGGGTCGATTAATCTCCATTAGGACAAACGTTTCGGATAAAAGGCCTTCCTCCTTCTCTGTGGCGTCGGTGTTTTCCATTTAGAATCTCAAGCTTGTTTTCTTGCACTGCCGTCTGAAGCCAGGAACTTGTCACCCTTCGCCATTGTGCAAATATATTGGCACAGTTCCTACATATATCTTTTTCCTTCTTTTCCTAGCGCTTGCACCATCAGCGATTTAGGATTTATTGCATTTTCTGACAGGTGAGGCGAGGTAGTGTCGCAACAGGTTTCAGAGTGATTTCGCAAATATTGTTCGGAAAGAAAGCAACAATTTTCATTCTATATATATTTCTGTTATGCTGTTTGCCTTCTCCTGCTCACCTGATTTGCCAATAACACTACCGGGAAATTCATTCTTTTTCCTGATTTGTCGGTTGCTGTATTTCGTTTTTTAGCACATCTATCCCTGCTGTAATCCCTCTGTATTTTCCATATCCCTGCCTCCTTCTCTGACTCTTCTCCACGCTTTCTTTCCCCCTCCTCCTTCACCCCCTCTCCTCCTCTTCCTTCGTCTTTCATCCCTCATCTCTTCCTCTTCTCTCACCTCCTTCTCTCTCTCACTTCTCCCTCACCTCCTCTCCTCTTCCATCGTCTTTCATCCCTCATCTCTTCCTCTTCTCTCACCTCTTCTCTCTCTCACTTCTCCCTCACCTCCTCTCCTCTTCCTTCGTCTTTCATCCCTCATCTCTTCCCCTCTCCTCACCTCCTTCTCTCTTTCACTTCTCCCTCACCCCCTCCTCCTCTTCCTTCGTCTTTCATCCCTCATCTCTTCCTCTTCTCCCTCCTCTTTCTCTCTCCCTCCTCCCTCACCTACTCTCCTCTTCCTTCGTCTTTCATCCCTCATCTCTTCCCCTTCTCTCACCTCCTTTCTCTCTTTCACTTCTCCCTCACCCCCTCTCCTCCTTCCTCGTCTTTCATCTCTCATCTCTTCCTCTCTCTCACCTTCTCTCTCCCCCTCCTCCCTCACCTACTCTCCTCTTCCTTCGTCTTCATCCCTCATCTCTTCCTCTTCCTCACCTCCTTCTCTCTCTCACTTCTCCCTCACCTCCTCTCCTCTTCCATCGTCTTTCATCCCTCATCTCTTCCTCTTCTCTCACCTCCTTCTCTCTCCCACTTCTCCCTCACGTGCTCTCCTCTTCCTTCGTCTTTCATCCTCATCTCACCTCCTCTCTCTCACTCTCACCTCCTCTCCTCTTCCTCCGTCTTTCATCCCTCATCTCTTCCTCTTCTCTCACCTCCTTCTCTCTCCCACTTCTCCCTCACCTCTCGCCTTCTCCCGTGCGTGGCTGGTTACTGTTTTGGCTTATTAGGCCTATTTTGCAGGTCGTACACAGCCTTTTTCTTGCACACATGCCCTTTTGAGCAGTTGCGAATCGTAAAAGCCAAACACCGGGTTGACGTTGTTATTTTTTTCAAGTATTAGCGTTTAGTAGAGGAAGAGAAGTGCGTTCGAGTGCGGTGGTGTTGCCATCCGCGTGTTCGTCGTTTCTCCTTTTCTTTCTATCTTGTATCGTCATTCTCTTTATCAATGTTCGCTTTCTTCATCACAACTTGAGTGAAATGTTTCGTCAAGCACTTCGCTATCCACTTCAATTCTTCCGATGCTCATTTGTTTATCTCGTGCCGCTGATAATCTTTTGCTCCTTCCAACGTATTCAAAACTTCCTCTGAACACTTGTTAAGTTTGATCTTTTTCGTCACTTTTTTCGCTTTTTTTCGTTTTCATTATTACTAATTTGATGGTCGGATCTTCGCGTAATTTTGGTCTGAGTCTGATGGATCTGCGCCATAATTTTCCCGCCAAAATCTGTCCAGGAAGCGGACCTCCCCTGCATACGTCTTCTCTGTCTGGGTTTTCTCTCTTCTCTTTCTCTCTCTTCTCTCTTTTCTCTCTCTCTCTCTCTCTCTCTCTCTCTCTCTCTCTCTCTCTCTCTCTCTCTCTCTCTCTCTCTCTCTCTCTCTCTCTCTCTCTCTCTCTGCTTCCCTCCCTCCTCTCTCTCTTCTTTCTTTCCCCGCCTCCTTCCTTCCTTCATTCCCTTTGTTCCACCCACTCTCCTCCATCCCTCCTTTCCTCCACCTCCCTCCCTCCTCTCCCTTCCATTCCTCCTTCCTCTCACTCTCTCACTCTCCCTCCTTCCATTCGTCCTTCCCTCCCACCATCCCTCCTTCCCACCCACTCCCACCCACTCTCTCCCTCCCTCCCTCCCACTCTCTCTCTCTCTTCTCTCTCCCACCTCCCACCTCCCTCCCACCCTCCCACTTTCCCTCCTTCCAACCTCCCACCTCCTTCCTTCCTTCCCATCCTTCCTTCCCTCCCTCCCTCTCCCTCTCCCTTCTCCCTTCCCTCTCCCTCTCCCTTCCCTCTTCCCTTCTCCCCTTTCCACCCATCCTTCCCACCCTCCTTCTCCCTCTCCCTTCTCCCTTCCCTCTCCCTTCCCCTCTCCCTACCTGCGACGCAAGATACTTCATGCCTGCCGCCACCTGCAGGGCAATCTGGAGACAATCCATCACGGAGATCGGATGTGTTGAGGCTTCATCGCCCGCCTGGAGTGCCACGTCCTCGTTGTGGCTCCTGGACATGGAAACAAAGATTTGGTTCCTTATTTTTATTTGTTTTTGTTTGTTTGTTTGTTTTTTGTTTATGTATTTTTGTTTTGTTTTTTTTTTTATTTGTTATTTATTTTTTTGGCTTTATTTTTTGTTTATTTGTTTGTTTGTTTTTTGTTTGTTTGTTGTTTGTTTGTGTTTTTTTCTATTATTCTCTTTTCTTGTTATTTTTTGTTGTTGTTTTATTTGTATTTTTGTTTGTGTTTTTGTGTGTTTTTTTTCATTACCCTCTTTTCTTCTTCTTTTTTGTTGTTGTTGTGTGTGTGCATGTGTGCGTGTGTGGTGGGTGCGTGTGTGTGTGTGTGTGTGTGTGTGTGTGTGTGTGTGTGTGTGTGTGTGTGTGTGTGTGTGTGTGTGTGTGTTGTGTGTGTGTGCGTATGTGCGTGTGTGCGCGCGTGCGTGTGCGTGTGTGTGTGTGTGTGTGTGTGTGTGTGTGTGTGTGTGTGTGTGTGTGTGTGCGTGCGTGCGTGCGTGCGTGCGTGCGTGTGCGTGCATGTTTTATATATATGCAAAGGCAGAACAACCATTACTTTATATCAATAACAAATACAATATCCCTTAACTACAACCCAAAATACCTCTAATATAATACAATGCAAAAAAAATCCAAAATACATTCAACAAAAAACACAACATAAAACAACACTTTCAATTCTCTACAACATCTTCGACACAACATTCTCAACAGCAATTTAATAATCAACAAAACACACAACATAAAACAACACTTTCAATTCTCTGCAACATCTTCAACACAACATTCTCAACAGCAATTTAATAATCAACAAAACACACAACATAAAACAACACTTTCAATTCTCTGCAACATCACACAACATTCTCAACAGCAACTTAATAATCAACAAAAAACACAACATAAAACACCACTTTCAATTCTCTGCAACATCAACACAACATTCTCAACAGCAATTTAACAATCAACAAAACACACAACATAAAACACCACTTTCAATTCTCTGCAACATCTTCAACACAACATTCTCAACAGCAATTTAATAATCAACAAAACACACAACATAAAACAGCACTTTCAATTCTCTGCAACATCTTCAACACAACATTCTCAACAGCAATTTAACAATCAACAAAACACACAACATAAAACAACACTTTCAATTCTCTGCAACATCAACACAACATTCTCAACAGCAATTTAATAATCAACAAAACACACAACTTAAAACAGCACTTTCAATATTCTGCAACATCTTCAACAAACATTCTCAACAGCAATTTAATAATCAACAAAACACACAACATAAAACACCACTTTCAATACTCTGCAACATCTTCAACACAAACATTCTCAACAGCAATTTAATAATCACACAAATCCTGATCTCAAAAGCAAGCAAAATCCCATGTGCATTAAATCTCAAAATAGACGCACACGCGACACGTACATGTCATCCAAATTTGAGTTTATTGGAAAAACAATATTCCAAGCCCGACACTCATAAATCTTTCGCGTTTCCTGTGTTGTGATTAATCATCGCCTCAATTAATAAACTCACTCAAAAATGTATGATAAATATGACTACGACATTTTTTTTTTTTTTTTTTTTTTTTTTTTGACGTTAGAGAGCGGAAAATAAAAGTTTGCTTTGCACTGAAAGAAAGGGGGAAGATTCCATTATTCTGAGAGGATGTGCGAGAGTTAGATAGATAGATAGATAGATAGAGAGGGGGGGGAGAGAGATGGGAGAGAGGAGGATAGAGAGAGGGAGGAGAGGGAGGGAGGGAGGGAGAAGAAGAGAGAGAGAGAGAGAGAGAGAGAGAGAGAGAGAGAGAGAGAGAGAGAGAGAGAGAGAGAGAGAGAGAAGAGAGAGAGAGAGAAGAGAGAGAGAGGAGAGAGAGAGAGAGAGAGAGAGAGACAGACAGAAACGAGAGAGAAAGAGAGATAGAGAGAGAGAGAGAGAGAGAGAGAGAGAGAGAGAGAGAGACAGACAGACAGACAGAGAGATAGAGAGAGAGAGAGAGAGAGACAGACAGACAGACAGACAGAGACAGACAGACAGACAGAGAGAAAGAGAGAGAGAGAAACAGACAGACAGAGACAGAAGGAGAGAGAGAAAGAGAGATTGAGAGAGAAAGACGACCGGACTGACAGCTCTGCATGCTGACCTAATGTTCTCTGTATTTCGAGCTCAATAACACCTCGTCATGACTTTCTGGTTTCTTTCAAC